TCCATCGACAATAGATATTATGTTTGAATGGATGAGGTTAGAACTAGCCTTTTGTTTTGTGAAAAGTTTCATTCATTTGAGTCTTTAATTTAGACTTTGAGCTAAATTGTGATTGGAGAGCCATAGATATTCCCTTATCCTAATCAAGTTATAGATAAGACAGCCGCATTTACAAGGAGATTATCAAAAGGGATGAAAATTGAAATCATGTTCATACAAATTAAGGATTATATGATGGAAACATGATGATTTATATCAAAAATTTATAGTTTAAGAGCAACACTGCGTTTATGGAATAACCAAAAAAAGTTATCATATGTTAGCATCTTCTATTTATGTGATTTTCTCTTTCTGTCATCATGTCGTTTGAGGCCATTTTCTAGAGTAAAAGCATGTGATTTATTGATAATAAAGAAATTGAGTTAATATTTTACAAGGATGACAACAAAACTAAAACAAAAAAACTATTTAGAGCAGCCCGGAGTTTTATACGCAACGGCAAATGATCAATTCTGAAATCAATAAGGGCTCATAATCCGGTTCCTAAATAGTCGGGGTTGTCAACTCCGACTATTTAGTGCATAGAATGTTAGGATTTAGGGTTGTAATTGGGGATTTGCAACTTCCTAAATAGTCGGGGTTGGCAACCCCGACTATTTAGGAACTGGATTAAAGAAAAATGGGTCGATTTTTGTAAAAAAAAAAAAAAACTCAAGGAGGTCGATTTTTAGGGGAAAAAAAGCCAACGGGTTTGTTTAGAAAATTTCTTCTTTCTTTATATTCCAAAGGAATATATAGGATTGGATAAGGTTGTGCGTGTGGTTTAGAAGGCTAGCCTGTGTTGTGGTCTATTCTTGAGATCTGAGAGAGATTTTGGCGAGGGAGGTGTTAGCATAAACAGCCATCCACCTCAATGTCAGTTATTTTGTCTCCAAAAGAGAGTTCCCAACAACTTGCACCCTTTTGCAAAAGCATAAGATCGCCATTGAGCCATTCCAAACTTCTACGAGCCATTTCCTTTTACGTATTCATTTGTCTAAACTTCCACATCAAAACTTAGAAGTTGCGGTCGAAATATCGTTTGATGGGCCGAAATCTGAATTTACGCGATGATTACGTAATGATTAGCTCTAGGCTCATTGAACTACGGTACCACGTCGAATGGGCTGTTTGGATGTTGAGGAGGCGTTGGGTATTTCTGACATATTGTCAGCTTTCCGCCCAATTCGCACCAAAATTTAGCTAATTGGGGGGAAAGCTTCAAACGTCGGTGACTAACGAACGGGGACAGCACGGAAAAACCCAGGGCGCTCTGACACATCCTTGCAGCTTTCGACTCTTTTCCCCTCCAAAATACTTGAAGCTAGCATGGTTGTGTTTGGCCACCACCCAAAAGTCAAAGTTACGTTTAGCAAAAATGGAACCGGTATTGGCCCAATTTTTCTTAGGGAAAATAATGATCCTCATACTCGTTTAAAGTTAGACGATCTCATCTTAGTTTATTTTTAAACTGGTTAGAATCAAGTTGGATTAAAATCAAATTTGCAGTAAAGTTGGGGCAACAGTCCTGAAACAAATTTGCAGTAAAGTTTTTTATTTTATTTGTTTATTTATTTATTTATTATAATGAAAACATTACTGTAGTTCAAGTAATACAGTAGTTCTCAAGCGAACTACTGTAGACGGCCCAACTGCGGGCTTCAGTACATGTTGCTCAGCCACTAGTTCCCTCCAAATTTGAGCTTCAATTCTAACGAAACCCGCTCGTGAACACCCATATTTAGACGCGCATATGGTCCCCACTCATATGTGTGAGGGTGAGAATACGGGTAAAGTTCGGCAGCAAACAAGAGCAATGATCATAATTTTGAAATCCCAACAGCTCAACCAAGGGGCAGAGCTAAACACTGAAAAGACCAGTCACCTCTATAAAAGATAGAGGCAGAGGAAAAAGGAAAATATAAAAAAATTAAAAGGAAAAAAAAAACGATCAGAAAAATCAAATTATCAGGGAAATTTCATTCATCTCCACACTGTTGATGCCAAGTTGAACGGGGGTTAGTTTTGGCCTCTTGGGGGTGGATAATCTAAGTGCATTCTGGCATATTTTTGCACATCTCATTCTTCAATCCATCTCTCAAAAGTTTATTTTCAGAAATTCCAAGTTCTGTTGATGGGTGTCTCTGATTCTTCCTGTTTTCTTGTAGAAATTCTAAGTTTGTTGGTTTTTGGGCTTTGGCATCTGAAATGTATGGATTTTTGGTGGGAATGTTGAAATGGGTGGGTTTATTTTTTTTTAAATCTAGAAAACCAAGAATTTGAAGCTGACATTAATTTTTTGTAATATTTACGGAGTTTGTACTTTGTAGATTTGATACATGTATGCAATTTACATTAATCTGATGTGTTCCGTCTTTCGATTTTTCTGTTATTTAATGAATGTATATAGATGACAAGGGGAGAGGCAATTCTCTCCTTTGTTTGAGGCTGAAGAACTAAAAGACATTGGAATTGAAGAGATATCGGTCTGAATTGGGCAATGCCTGTTCCTCTTGCTCCATATCCAACCCCTCCGGCTCCTTTTACTCCATCAAATGGTATATCCTTTCAATCCCTTTATAGTTTTCTAGGATTTCCTATATGATTAGTACCATGAAGAAAGTTTTAAGCAAGATTAAGAGTTGATTTAGTACACGCATTATATGTAACTATATATGTTGGTTTATATTAGTAGGGTTGTAGCCTAGACCGATGCATTATGTAGCATTCAAGTGGATGGAATTTTCATAGTAGATATTATGAAGCTTGTATTGTCATGATAATGCTTCCTTATTTAACCTTTCTAATGTTTGTGAAAATGCTTTAATTAAATCGTCGATGATAGAAATGTTCTGTCCCGCCAAAGAAAATGTATTTAATCCTGAAAGATTGTACCTTGAGCTGCTAATCTAAGGAGAGAGAGAGAGAAAACTTGTGAGCACGTTTTCACTTGCATTTGAAAAGTTATAGCTTGCACGCTTTTGTCACAGATTGCAATTTGGTTTAATCTCTGAATTGCGTTTAGAGAGTTGTATTAAGGAAATCATTTGTCATTCTCTTCGTAGATGTACTCAGGAATAAATGCTATACGATGTTGTCTTCTTTTTATCATTTTCCATTGAAACCAGTTTCTGTGATATTCAAATTGATGGCATTTATGTATGTTACAGTTTTCTTTTTTATCTTTTCGTCAGGCGGCCATAGCCAACTTGTTTGTTCAGGCTGTCGAAATCTTCTCATGTATCCCCTTGGGGCAACGACAGTATGTTGTGCTGTCTGCAATGCAGTAACTCCTGTTCCTCCTCCCGGTATATTTTCTTCATCAATGCGTTGGATCATTCTTATATTATAAGTAGTGACACGTGAAGAACAATAATTTTGCCAAAACTCACGTTAATGCTAGCTGTTTTATAAGTAGGGACCGAAATGGCTCAGTTGGTTTGCGGAGGCTGCCATACTCTTTTGATGTACATACGTGGAGCAACTAGCGTACAATGTTCTTGTTGCCACACTGTCAATTTGGCTCATGAAGGTGAGGGAACTGCTATAACCGATGATTTAGTGCCATCCTCTTATGTTGTGTTAATCTTAAGAGAATATTTTTTGTTTTATATTTAGTGACTATGAAAGGTTTAGCTGCAGGAAACCAAGTGGCGCATGTCAATTGTGGGAGCTGCAGGATGTTATTGATGTACCAATACGGAGCAAGATCTGTGAAATGCGCAGTCTGCAATTTTGTGACTCCCGTTACGGTCAGTTTTATGACAAAATTAACTTCTTTTCCATACGGTGATTGATGTCATGCAGAGAACAAAAAAGTGAAAAAGAAAAAGGAAAAACTATTCTTAAAGTTCTCCCTTCTTTTTTTTTTTTTACTCTCGACTTGAATTAATAAGGTAACCTCCATGTTTCTTTGGTTGCTTGTTGAACTTGTATGCTCTTTATTGGTAAATTTTCCCGTTTTCTTATGTTTATTGGTGGAATTATTATCTTCAGCTACTTGCTAATATGTTCTAGGTTGTTTCTATTGAGAAACTTAGCTATTCCTCTGTGAACTACGGAATAAGACAAAGATATCGGGGCACATATAGCCATATGCATCAACAATAAATGAGAAAATACACACAAGAGCTCGAGAGACCAGAGTGTGAACAGAAGAAAATTGGATTAATGCAGTTTTACTAGAAATTAGATGAGCAACAGAAAAATGCGTGTATAAGATTCAGATATTATACTTGAAACAACCATGCACAGAATCTAAACTTCATAGTGGTCCTCTTCTTCCATAAATCCAGCTCCGAAATAGAAACCCAAACCCAGTACTAAAAGCCTGTAAACCCACCATAATTAACAGCAAAATCACAATAACAACAACCATATTCTCCCATGAAGTTACCAAATACTTTATCATAAACCTCTTCATTTTCACTTTCCACCTCGAATTATAATACATATTCACCTCTTCAATCACCTCGTCCAAAACCTTAACTTTTGTTAGCCTCACAGATCGGCTCATCCCATTCCACATCCCAGCCACCTCTTTGTCACTCTTCAACATATTCATCACAACCCCCTTTTCCCTTAAAATTTTTGCATCCTCTTCAGTATCAATAATACCATTCATCAATTCAACATAACGTGTAAATGTCACTGGGCCGGTGACAATAGCTGCTTCGTATGCCACCAAATTCCGGAGGACCACTTCAGAATTTATATCAAGACTAATCTCTGGTAGGTGCAATGTTGCCGTCTTAGCATCGAAAGCAACACTTGAAATGTCTCCATGTGTCGGTTCAAACTTAATGCCAACATTGGCTAGCTCGGTTACTGAAGGAATTGCAATCTCCTCAAATGAAAGACCTTGGTCAGAGATTTGAGTAGAATTGAGCTTAGTGTTCTCAATGGGTTGCTTTAGGACTGCAAATGTTGGAATCGAGGTAATTATTGTCCATGGTATTCTTATTAAAAACTTGATGATCAGTGACGTGAAGGCCTTGATTCGAGCTAGGAAGAGCAGCATAGCTGTAACAGCAAAATCTCTAACAAAACTGTAGAGTTTATGTGGGCAATTATTGTGAGTGGTTTCTTCATTGGAATCAAGAGTTTCTTCATTGTACAGTGGTACTATGGAATGGTAGAGAAGCTCAAGCAAGTGGGAGTGTGAAGTAATTTCAATAAATTGGAAATTTGTAGCCATCTTGAAAGGTGTTAATTCCTTCAAGAAGGCAATTAGCATAAGAGTTAAGGTTTCTTCTGAAAGTTGTGGTGGTTTTACTAGGAGTTCTAGGATCTTGAGGAGGAGAAATAGGGGAATTTGGTTCTCTAGCATTATTATGTCGCAAACAAGTATGTCATTGATCAATGTCCTTCGAGTTGCGTTCACCAAAGTAGTTATCTTAGAGGGTATTCTCAGAAGGCTCTGGGCACCAATAGAGGAAATCTCGAGGAAACCGAGAAGAAAAGAAGTGTCAATGGCCATCATCCAGGCCAAGGTCTCGCCATCAAAAGGAAGGTACCTGATTCAAGATTGATTGATTAACTGCACGATAGGATGCATGAAACTATGCTTCTTAGAAAAACAATTATATGCGCATACATCTATCTGCACATTCTAGTTTAGCTATTGTAGCTAAGTAATCATTTAAAATATCAGCAATTTCATAAAAGTTTGTTAGTCTTTTACTTCAATGAGCTTCTGCCCAGATTACTAAACAAATCATTCATAAAAAACCAAATCAGCCAAAGTAATTTCTTTTATGTGAAGTACCCCGCTATTTTCAATATCTCCTAGATTTACCTATATTGTGAGTTACCTATTGAAAAACTAAAACGAGCTTTACCTCTGGTAATGGGCACGGATCCGATATTCAGCCTTGCGAAACATACTGACTACGTGTTCAAACCCGATATCTTGCAATTGGATTCGGATCTTTTTTGCTGCAGAGAGTTTGTATCTCTCCATCTGATGTAGCTCTTCTCGGCTGTGATGATATGGGCCAAGTGCAATGAGTTGAGGAATGTAGGCGTCAGGCTTGTTAGTGATTAGAGGCTTTGGAACGCCAGTAATAGAGGCTGATATATGATCATCTTCTTCCAAATCTTGATCTAGGCTGTTTCGGATTCGGATGATCCACTGGAGTCCATCCATGAAAAGATTTGGATCCAGAGCCTGTGTTTGTGTATGAGAGAGATTTTTGATGTTAGAGTTAAGAAATTAACTAAAGTTCTGAAACTGATAGTGATAAATGAGTATTAAAAGGGGTGCAAAGCTTTATGAATTGAAGAGGATATAAATTGGTTTACAGGCTAAACTCCTCCTCAAATGTTAGATTTTCAATTTAAGGCTGCAGTTGGCAGCAATAAATTTATAGAACTGATACAAGAGATTACAATGGTAAAATCTCACTTCATTTTCCCCCATGGTTTTTCATGAACGCTAATTAGTAATTAACCACAAATCCTGTAATTTCAGTTGTAGCTCATATAAAAGAGAAATGTTGTGATATTTTGACTCATGTGCATTTTTCTTTCTACAGGCTTCTCCTGCCAATGAACAGAAGCTCAATAACTGATATTCGCCGAGATTTTCCATTTCTGACTTCTTAAAAAATTCACCTTCTTATCTTTTAGTCCCCTGAAGAGGATTCTTGTCTAGAGGTGTAATTTCTATATCTTCAACTTCTTTGTTATAGAGTTGGTTTGTGGAGTTTCTGTTCCATGAAACTTTTTCCCCTGGAATAAGCAACTTTTTTGCAGGCTACAGCCCCAAAGGCAACCTTTGTTGTACTGAGCTGATTGAGTTTTTTCGGGTTTAGTTTCTGTTTGAATCTTAGAAGAGAGAAAACTGGGGTGTATGAAATTCTTGTCTAATTTCTGAATATGTATTGTATTGTATTTTTACATTTAGGCAAGAATATGAAACTCTTGTCTAATTGTCTGCCTTCAGTAAGAAACGTCTTAAAGATTCTGTCTAATTTCTGAATATGTGGGGTGTATGAAATTTCAAGAGAGGAATATCTCTACATTAAACTGAATCTTTTCTTACATAAATAATGATGGTGACTTTGGCCAGAGATAAATCAGTTTTTGACCTGAATTGATTACATCTCCAGAATTAATTAGCCGAAATTGTATATCAAATGCAATGTGCTTGTCTCTTGGAGCAGTTTTTAGAATTGAATTTACTAGTGTGCACCTGTGCAAAGCACGGACTCCATTTTTTTATTTCCGGTACAGTAATTTTGTATTTAAATACAGTTTTTGCAAGTGTTACAATAACATTTTTTAGATGCTACAGTGTCCACCTGAGATACAGTAATAATAGTACAGTAATGTTTTTTAAACGCTACAGCTCCCTCATGTGCTAAGTAATAATGCTACAATATTTATTAAAGTAATAATGGTGCAGTAATTTGCTGTAGTATTTGTTGTAGTATGAATAGAGTGAATATTGGATTCTCCCTTTATTAAACTACTATTATGGCTCAAATACTAAATGCAGCCAGGGCCGTACCTAGGAATTTTGGGGCCCAAGGCGAAATATTGGATGAGGCCTAAGTGATACAACTCATAATACATTTTATCTCATTCTTTTTACCTTTTGAGCGGCAAAATTACATATTATTTTCAATATCTTGTAACACGGTCGATCTTAAATAAGATTTTAGTAATTTTAATTTTGAAAAACTTCTTTCAGCGGAAGCAACTGTTACGAGTATAGTCAATAGTACACGATAAGCAATACAAGTATTTAGAAAATAATCTAACCACTTTATATAGTTCAACACTTCAATTGGACTATTAATCTCTATTTTTAAAATTTCCCTAAGCACTCTCAATTCTGAAAACAAATCAAGTCCATTAATATCTAAATGTTCATCATGTTTTAGTGCATTTTCGAGATTAAGATAATATGCTTTCAATTCAATATAATCTAAAGCTTTTAATTTTTTCAAATCAAACAAAAAACCAAATTTTTTTTCATACGTTTTAAATTGTTCAAACCTACTTTCAATTGAGCCAAACGATTTATCAACTATGTATAGAAATATTCAATACGAAAAGATTCTTCAGCGTTAAATGTTGTTTCATTACCAATATTTCATCAAATTGTTTTTTTCTATGAATTTTACGTTTTTCACAAAATATAGGTTGTACGTCATTTAATTAGCAAGTTCTTTAGTTGAATTCAAAGCAGATATAAAAGCATTTTGTCTATAATTTTCTAAATATACAATAAGACCCTTTAATTGATCTATGACAATATCAATATGCATATCTTTAGATTGTAAGATTTTACTAACTGAATTAACAGCAAACAATATGTCATACCAAATATTCATAGCTATTAAGAATTCAAAATTTTCAATCTCATAAGTTGCTAAGCTATTAACTTCACTTTTTATCTTTGGATCTTCACTTTTTAAATAGGGTTAGCTTTATGCTTAAGTAACTAAGTTACATATATTATATATATGGGTGGGTGGGCCTTATCCAACTTGGGGCCCAAGGCAAAGGCCTTAGTTGCCTTATGCTAGGGCCGGCCCTGAATGCAGCTTCTTATGTTGGAAAAACCCAGACAACTTTTTTTTTTTCAAGATTACATCCATTCTAAAACAAAGGAAGTTGCCATAAATCATTCTGAAATTAGTCCCTAAAAACATGGGCATCCATCACCTCAAATTCACCTGGCATCTGCACAAGTGTTAGGCGATTTCGCCTGTGCGAAACTCATCCACAAAATCAAAACAAACCCAGCCACCAGGCCTCCTATAAATTTCAAACTAAATCTAAAAAAAACAAAGAAAAAACGAAAAAAAAAATAACTGTAAAATAAAATAAAATGCAGGCAGTGAGGGTGAAAGTCAAGGACATGGCAAGCACTGTCAAAGAGAAAGTTAGCGAGCACAGGGCCAAGTCCGAGGAGAAGGCCGAGATGAAAGCGGCCCAAAGCCATCACGAGGCCGCAATGGTCCACGAGAAATGCCAGGCCAAGATCGACGACGCTAGGGCCCAACTGCACCACGAGAAGGCCGAGCACCGGGCCCAGGCCAATGCCCATGGTTCGACATTGCCGGTCCGGCACCAAACCTCCTCTACGGCCCACCCGACAACAGCCTATAAATATGAGTAGGCCTGTTTTGTGGAGTACAAATTTTATCAAGTCGGCCGCAGACGATAACAAGATCTGATAAGATTTGTATTATGTTTTTTTTTGTGTGCTTGTGATTGAATGTTGTGTTGGCTATCTGTTGTTTGGCCTGATAAAAGAGAAAAAAAAAATCAGAGCAATTTGTAGTTCAAAAATGTAATTTGTGATTTTGTTGATATTCTTTGTATGAGATGCATGATTAAATAGAGGTTCATCATTATTTGTGTTTTTTTTATTTGATGGGGTAGATAGCCTACAACCTCATGTTTTATTTCTGCATGAGTTTTGCATTTTTAGTTCAATTATTTTCGGTAAATTTTTTTGATATCAATTGAATATGAAACGTATGCAGTTAAGCGATTAGAGCTATTACAGAAATAAACTAGTGTTCTGGTGCACGCGATGCGTGCGTGACACAATACAGATTTGAGTTAGGAAAGTGATAGAGTAATGAAAGGTGCAATCCAATTAAATCTCTGGTTCGCGTTCGTTGCTTAGTTATATCTAAAACGTAAAAAAGGCTAATTAATAATTGAAAGGAAAAAGTGAGTTCCGTCACACAAAATTCTTTATTAAGCTTGCTCCTTCAAAACCTCCATGAAAACAATGTGAAGTTTTACATACACTTTTTTCTGCAGCAAATTGACTGTGTTATGTTTGCTCCTACTAATCTGTTTTGATATTAATTAGCTTCTAAATCATGCCAAAATTCCTTAATTAGCTTCTAAATCATGCCAAAATTCCTGCAAACTTTAGAATGAAGTAAGTGCTATCAAGGTTACATATAATGCAATTTGCGTTATGCCAAAAAAATAAAGCAATCTGACTTGCACCAGTAAAAAAAAAGTGGCTCACATTTTAAATTTGTGTTTTAGAAAAGAAAAATGTGGAAATATGGTCAGCTTATGTCATATTTTCCAATTATCAACGGATCTATATACCCATTTTAAAGGCAGTTGCACCCCTGAAAATTTGCAAGTTTACATTTTAAGCTCTCTAATGATTGCAATCTGCCCCATAGATTTTAACTATTTGTGACTCAAATATTTATAGTAGTCATTTGAATTAGCTCACCAGCAATTAGAAGCCCATTTAAATTTCAAACAAATTGATTAAATTGACCCAAAATATTATTAGATAAATAATTGCCTATCATTCGTTCCCCTACAAGTATTTTTCTTGATCTGCCACTGATTCTTATAAGTTTTCTTCACTAGAATTACTACCATGAGTTTGCATCAATTTGAGGTTGATATCGTCGGCCATAAAATAGCACATCGCACAAAACATATCAAATTTAGTGAAAATTATTCTTAATTCACTAGAATTCCTTTTGTTATTCGTAAATGGCATTATCATTGCAATGAGTGCTACTAGTTTAAACTCATATTAATGTTGATAATCTTTATCTCTATCATGATTACACCGAGGTATACTTTTAAACTGTGTTTGGATAGAGGGTAGAGAAGAGAAGGGGAAGAGAAATTTGAGCTTAATATTGTTACGGAGTTTTATTGGGAGGGTAGAGGAGAGGAGGGTGGGAAAATTTTAGACTTAAGGGCTGTTTGGTTATTTCCTAAAAAACCAAAAAATAGAAATGCAAACCAAGAAAACTCAAAAAATACAATTTCACACATTTTCATCCCTAAAACTCACTCACAACATCTAATAAAATATTATTTTTATCCAACAACTCATCCATCACATCTAATAAAATAGTATTTTCATCCAACAACTCATCCATCACATCCACCACATCTAATAAAATATTATTTTCATCCACAACATCACTCAACTCATCTCATCTCATATTTAAAAATTACTCACATCATCCAATAAGATTATGACAACTCATCTCATCTCATTAACATTTCATTTCTTTGTTTTCTTCCCAAAAAGCTAGGAAAACAATTTCCTTAAGTGTGGGTCACATCATCCAATAATATAATGACAACTCATCTCATCTCATATATTTTCTTATTTTTAAGAAATAACCAAGCAAAAAAAAAACAACCTATTACAAGAAATAGGTTTCTTATAATTTATTTCATTATTTTTTCGCCAACCAAACAACATCAAAACAAGTTTTCTTAAAAAATCACTCACATCATCCTATAATAAGGTGACAATTCATCTTCATTTCTTTGATTTCCTTCTTTTTTTAGCAAACCAAACTCTCCCAAAACAATTCTTTGATTTAATAGTTTTCCATTTCTTTGATTTTCAATTTTTTTAGGCAAACAAACATGCCCTAAAATCCTACACCCCAAATCGGACGGTAAATGAGGGGAAGGAAAAATTGACAATTTTTCTTCCCTTCCTTATCATTTATGCCTTTCTCTTAGGTTTAGATAGGGGGTAATGTGAGTAAAAGGGAGGTGGGGGGCACACTACCCTTGTTTGGAAAGTCATTTGAGGTAAATAATGAGGGAGAGATTAAGGTAATGAAGGGGGAAATCTTTAAGATTTTGTTCCCTCCAAATTAGAGTGTAATGTAGGGGTATTGAACACTTAAAAAAAGAGAATATTACTCAAAGATAGTTCTACCGCTACATCAAGATGAGATTCAAAGGGATAAAATAACATATAAGGTATTTATGTAAATTTATATATATACCGTTACATTCCCTTCATTTTATTAAACTTTCCAAATGAGCTGAAATAAGTTTTCATTATTCCCCTTACTAATTTCTCAAATAAGTTTTATATATTTCATTACATTCCATTAACTTAAATTATGTTGCAAATCCGAACAAGGCTTTAGGCCTCGTTTGGTACGTGAGAATGAGATGGAATAGATTAGTCATTCTCATTTCTCATTCC